CAGCTCAGTAGGCATTCAAAGCATAAATGATGAATGCATCTACCACACTATCAGACACTTCAATGTTAACTGAATCTCAGTCTCCCACAAGTAAGCTCTTTCTACCTGCTTACCCTCCATTGCAATCAGTGTTGCTCTATAGGAAATATTAGAATTAAGGAGTCCATAAAAGACTTTGGAAATATTCCCTTGCTATTTATAGAGATAACCACAAAGTTTTCAGTGAGACAGATGACATCAAGAAGAAGGCTCTGAAGTGAAGATTTGGTAGGCAATGTAGATCTTTGGAGCAAAAATGTTTCCCAAGAAAATACTTGCATGTCAAGTTCAATAGACCATCAAATATATGTAAGTAATTTGACAGAAAGATGGAAACAAAATATCACAAATATCAGTTTATCCCCTATCAAAATGTTGGTTTACCATTGCTTAGAAATGGTTTGGGAATATTTTCCACCATGAAGCAAATTTATAAGCAGTGTACACAATGTCTAATTCCTCTTTCCAAAGATACCTCAGATATTAATATTTGACATTAATAACTTTTTATCCACAAATAGCAGATGGAACCATCTAAGCTAATGAGTGCTGGTAGTATGGATAATAGAAAGATTCACTTTGGGTGCAAGGTAGATGACAGTCTTGATACCTTGATATCAAAGATTTGAGGATGTTTTAAAGGACTATTTGGTTCACACATTTTACAAATACTTATTGGGCCGTATTATGTGCCAGGTACCCTGCTAGTTGTTAAAAGGAGCAGGATATAGCCCCTGCCTTCAAGGAAGTTTCAGTTTTGTGGAGAAGAGAGAAGTCAACAATTACATGATGGGGTGATAGGAAGGCGAGGTACGTGTAGGTGCTCAGAGTCCTTAAAAGAAGTCAGTTGAAGATGCCATCAGTAGCCAAATAAATGTCCTGAAGAAATCACAGGTCAGTGGAAGAATAAGGTCTGTTATGATTGCTACCAGGCACGCCATACTGCCTCGTGCGCACTAACAGAAAAGCAGCAAGCTACCGTGGAGACATCAGCTGTACAACAGGGTAAGGAGAAACCTCTGTGAATCCCTAGAGAGAGCTGGCGAAGAAGCCAGAGTCTAAGTCCAGATAACACCCTGAGAGAGCTCAGTGAGCCTGGTCTCTGAGTGCCACCAGTGAGCTTTAGAATCAAGATTAAAATTCTCCCACGGTAGTTTCCTTTCACCCATTCATTCATTTATTCACTCGAACATAAGCTCCATGAGGGCAGGGGATCTTTGTTGGGTGTGATCTTTACTGTGTCCCCAGCTCCCAGAACAGTGCCTGACACAAACGAAGCTGTTGATAAATATTCATTCAGTGAATGAATCGTTGGATCAGCGAACATATTTAACTCACATCGAAGGACTGTAGACGTGGGTAACTGTTAACAGAGGAGCGGGATAGTGAAAAAAGGCAGAAGACCTGCCAAGGCTTGTGTGCTTACTGAACACTTGTGGAATCAATGAATGACTGTTCACATCAGAGCGTGAACCCACGGGGCCTTCTTTGTACGGTGTGGAGTACGAGAAAGAGCGTGGGCCTTGAAATCAGACAGACGTGCATTCAAATCCCGAATCTTCCAGATCTGGGAGTACCAACAGTAAGTGCATCCAGATCTGGGAGTACCTCAGGCACATTCTTTAACCTCTCTAAGTCAGTCTTCTCACCCCTAAAATGGGATTTGGACCTTCGGGGTGGCTGCGAAGGATAAAGAGGAAAAAACACGGAAAGCTCTGGACCAGCACCCACCCCTCCGGCCCCAGAGCCAGTGTTGTGCAGAACTCTGGGAGAGTGCTGGGCCCCCAATCCCTGGATGTCCATCCTGGACCCCCTTTTCTATATCTTCTCCTCCCTCTCTGTCTCCAGCAAACTTCTCCAAAAAGCCTTCCTTCCCCTCTCAAAAGTGCATAGTAACCTCCTCACCCTCTTACTTTCAGTTCCATTGGTTTGGGGTTCAAATAACAGATGTCGCCAAACTGTTGAGTGGGCTAGTTGCCTTCTCCTCTTTCCTCCGTATCCTAGGAGCCAATACAGTGCCTGGATTCTGGCAGATGCTTAGTAGATGCTACTCATGGTAACCTTCACTTCCTATACTCACCACACCTCAGGTCATAAAAGCTGTTTTACACAGGCTAACGTACCACCCCAAGAAACTACACCATTATGCCGTGAGTCGCAGATCATTATAACAATTCTCAAGAAGTCAATAAAAGTGATAATGCCAGAAATCCCATACCTATTTTCGAAAACAACAAAATATTTTCTCTATGCTTTGGGGCCTTATAAAATGGGACAAAAACCTAACAATAGGATCGGCCTCGGGGATTGCCCACGGTGCATTATAAGGATGAAAATGAGCAAAATTCTTTACTAATTCATGTTTGCTGATCAAAGGGAACACTTGGAGGCTCATCTTGGTTTCTTCGTGTACCTAAGTCTCCACCTCATGAAGCCATGGAAGTGTCCTATTGCCCGTAGCGGGATACAAGATTGAATTCCTATCAGTTAACATTTATTAACACACCCACCAGAAGGCAAATCAAGGAAGACTGGACTCAATAGAAGACTGAGTCTCATTTCCAGCCACAGTGACATCTGCTTGCCATATCATTGCTCAGGTTATTGCCAGCTAATATGACTTGCTCTTTAAGATGTCTAAAGTAGTCATACCCTAGCAAGTGACCTCATCAAAAAAGATTATTGATTAACAATATTTCTAGGGGCACCTGGGTGGCTCAGTTGTTAAGCGTCTGCCTTCGGCTCAGGTCATGATCCCAGGGTCCTGAGACTGAGCCCCACATCGGGCTTCCTGCTCGGCGGGAAGCCTGCTTCTCCATCTCCCACTCCCCCTGCTTGTGTTCCCTCTCTCGCTGTGTCTCTCTGTCAAATAAATAAATAAATAAATAAATAACACGATATTTCTAGAGCTCCTACTCCAATTAAGCAAAATCCTAAGTAATAGGGTAAATATAAAAGAATTTTTAAAAATGATTACTCTCTCAAAAAACATACACCTAGATGGCAAGGTAGAATCTACTGATCGATAACCATTGGAGAACACTCTAAAGCAGTGGTTCTTGAAGAGAGGTCTACACAGCAGCAGCATGAGCAGCAGTAGGAACTTGTCAGAAAGCCAAATTCCTAACCCCAGAACCACTGCATCAGAAACTGGGTGGGGTCCACCAATTTGTGTTTTTAACAAGACTTCCACATCATTTGGATGCGCACTAAAATTTGAGAAACACTGCTTTAAGTCAAATAATAAGCACATTCAAATCAACATAATTCCAACAGACTACAAATGTGCTGAGCCATGGTGGGGGCTTGTGTTAATCACAGTTTTCCTTTATGACCTCTCAATGAAGGTACTGGGAGGTCAGATTCAAAGTGAAAAACAGTTTAACATAAAGTCAACTCTTGATGGTCTTGATTACCTCTTTTGAGTTATTAGTGGCAACTTCACACAATCCCAGGCTAATTTCCCCAATTCAGCCAAAATAATACTTTCAAACTATATTTCTAAGATAAGCTAAATCAGCCTCATAATGGCTTACAATATATAAAGCCAAACATCAAAGACTTTTATGCTTCCTTTCATTAACATGTATAATCAAGAGTTTCCAAACTGGGACAGGCCACAAGAATTGAGATCATACAAAGTCTAGTCCAACCCTTTGCCTCTACTAGTTTTGGCACATGGGCAATTTGGGAGCATCGTCAACACATGCCACGAACATATGGGGAAGACTGCAAGGGGCAGTCAGGGCCCTTGAGGACCAGCCCGAGCATGACCTCTCCCAACTACTTACCTGAGCCTTGATGTGGCCTGCCAATCAAACTAAGGCTCCTTGTGTTTCAACCTCACCATGAGGCCCTTTTTCCCAGAATTGTAGCTTCATGTTTCTGACCTTGGTCTGTTAACCTGCCCCTGATTCCTGATGACTTCCTTCTTTAATCATTTGTTCTTAAATCTGGACTCCAATCTGACTATGATTAACCCAACCCTACTAATTCACAAAGAAAGAAAGAAAGAAAAGGAAAGAAAAAAAGTGTGTGAGCCTATTCCTTTGATGCACAGAAGACTAGAGATCTACCCTTTTATTATAAATGTTCTAGAGAGGGAAATTCTATTAACCCTGTGGAAATGGTTTTCTTGGAATGTTTCCATCCATCATCATAAAGACAGACCTTATCCCCACTTTATTCATCAATGTTTACTAGCTGAATTTTTTATTATGTGGGTTCTTAGAGATAATTTAATTCAACTTCACTTGTAAGGAAACAACAGTTCTGTACAGGCTAACATGCTATGACTTGAAGAGATGGCCCCTACATACTCGGAGTCTGATAGAGTAATGTCTCCTCCCCTTGCCCCGCCCCCGGTCCCCCACCCTGCACCACCCCTTCCCCCTACTCCCCCACCTCTTTGCAAGATATTCACGTCCTAATCACAGAAACTTGTGAATTACTTTACAGGAGAAAAGAGACATTGCAGATGTGATTAAGTTAAGGGTCTTGAGATGCAGAGATTTCCATGGATTATCTGAGTGGGCCCAACGCAATCACAACGATCCTTACTAGAGGCAGGAGGGCCAAAGTAAGAGAAAGAGGTGATGAAGAAAAGGTCAAAGAGAAAAAGAAAGAGAAATCTAGATTCAAAGATGCCACATTGCTGGATTTGAGGATGGAGGAAGAGGCCATGAGGCAAAGAATGCAGGTAGTCTCTAGAAGCTAGAAAAGGCAAGGGAATGCATTCTCTCCTAGAGCCTCCAGAAAGAATGCCAAGGACTTCTGACCTCCAGAATTGTAAAATAATTAACACACACACACACATATATATGTGTGTGTGTATATATATATATATATATATATTTTTTTTTTTTAAGTAACCTCTATACCCAACGTGGGGCTCGAACTCACGACCCTGAGATCAGGAGGCAGATGTTCTACTGAATGAGCCAGTCAGACACCCCAACTTATATTGTTTTAACCCACCAAGTTTGTCATAATTTATTATAGCAACAATATGACATTAATACAGGTAGTTTACAACCCAGTAAGAGAGAGAAGACGGCATAGGCAACTTTGGTACAATTCAGAAAGTGACACGTATATAATAGAAACACAAAAACAATGCTATGGTAATGCTGATGAGGCGAGTACTTCCGGCTCGGGGAAGCTTCCTGGAAGACGCAGTTCTGCTGGGGCCTTGACGGCCCGGGTAGGATTTCAACAGGGGGAGACCCAGTAAACAGGAGGAGTAAAGGCACAGAGTTGGCAGGCATAGGATCAAACAAAAAGCTGACATAGGCCCTTGTGACCAGCCATTTTCTCAGAAACAAAATTTACTTGATTAAAATTTCATAAATTCTACTCAGGATTATGAATGTCAAATTCATTCCTAAGTTTGTAAAAAAAATTGTAATAATAGCTAACAACTATATGATATGTGATAAACTATCCTAACAGTTTAAATACAGAAATCCAGATCTTGGGCAAGAATCCCCTCTCCCCTCTCTACAGAGAACATGTCATAGTCAAGAGTGAATCTGGCTCATTTTCAGGCAGGCAGGCTTGACAGGGATGAACAGAAAAAATACTAAGTGTTAATTAAAATAAACAAAAAGGTAATTCCTTAAAAAGGCATCTGTTAACATTTACAAATTAGACAGTTCCTACGATCTTCGAGAGCAAGCTAAACAGAACAATGGGATTTAACTGAACTGAACCTACTTAGCAGACTGGAGGCTCTGAGGGCTCATGCTGCTGATGAAGAAGACAGGAGAATCCAGTCCCTTTTGTGGTAGGTTTTGTTTGTCTGAGGTCAGAGCTCATGATCTTAAGTAATTTTGAACGGCTCTAATTTAGCCTAGGTGTAAGCCTAGGAATTGGGAAGGAAGGAATAGCATTGTCCAGATTATTGATCTGCATCCCCCAAACTCACCATCGATAGTCCTCATAGCATGACTTATGGTGACAATGTTTTCCCAAGATGGTACCTGTACTCAGGTGCCTTAGCAATACTTGCTTTCTTCTTTGTCTTCTGGTGAGATCGATTCTCTTTTGTATGGTTCACATTTGTTCCAGGAGAAATTGCAGGAACAGCTGGTCTCCACTGGCCTGCTCCTGTAAGAATGGCCTGGAGTTTCTGCAGAAGGGTCCATAAATGTACCACAGGCACTTGGGTCCTGGGATAGAGCGGAATGCTTTGGAAGCCAACTTTCTTGACAAGAAGAACTGGGCCTGTTGCAGGCATCCTCATTTCTCTCACTGCCTGTCTTTCTGTCAAAGCCCAGAAACGTAACCTCAGACTGGCTACATTCAAATGGAACTTTCTGAGTCACTCCATCTTTTCTCAAACCTTTATCATGAGGTGGTGAACAATTATTCTGGTTTTCATCATCTTCCACTGGAATACTTGGTACGTTCTCCAAGAACAGAGGAGAAGGACACCTGAAGGACTTTAGAGACGTGGGAGGATCCTCAGCAAAATATAACCTGGCTTGAGTACTTTCAAGAGTGGTTAGGACCTAGTTAACCAAGAAGCAAAGAAACATTTGCATTAAGCTTCCATAACCTCTCCTTTCACCTTCTTTCTATCTACCTATTAAGGAGTATTCTCTTATTTTCATGAAATAAGTTCAACTATAGAGTTCTGAATGGGAAGGTATTATTAAAGATTAGCTAAACCCTTTCAGTTGCATGAGTAAATTAAAAGACTTAAAGCCAAGTATAAAAGAAACTGCACTGAAGTAAATATCAAGAGACCTGAGTTGAGGCTTAGATTTGCCACCAACTACTGTGTGTCCTGGGCTGAGTCTCCATACATTTTTTACTTCAACCTTAATATGCGGAGTACAGGAAAGGGTCAGGGGACAGGGGACCCAATCTGTAGTTCTCAAATGTCAGAATTACCTACAGGAGCCCTCTTAAAATACAGATCCCTTGGCCCCAACCTAAAGATCGTCACCGACAAAATATGAAGATAGGGGCCCAGGAATCTATATTTTAAAAGCTTGTCACTTGATTTGGATGTGCAGCCCAAAGTGAGAACTGTTGACCAGATTTAAAAGAACATGTAACATCCCTTCGCACACACATGTAATTTTTAAAACTACATTTAGAGAGCTTTACTATTTACAAAGTGCTTTCACACACATTATCTCATTTAATCTGCACAAACAACACTATTATTCCCATTTTACAGATAATAAAGCTGAGGCTCAGATAAAGGGAATAAATATCACTAGCCAGTAAGGAGCAGATGTGTTGCTTGACCTCAGATCTGGCTCTCAATTCCATGTTTCTTCCACTGTGTATCTCATAGCTCTTTTTGGGCCCAAGATTCCAGGTCACAAAGCTCTTACTGGTGGTGCCACGCCTAAAATATAGCTCTCCTGACTCCCAGGCCAGGGCTCCTTACATTCTGATTATGTTGACCTCTTGTTTAAAACCCTTTCATGGCTCTACGATAGACTCAGGATAAAACCCCAAATCCCAGAATGGAATTCACGTCCCTCTATCACCTGGAACCTTCTATTATTTTAAGCACTCCAGCTTTTCCCTCACCATATTCCATTTCCATGAACTGCCTGCAGTATTAGTGTCATAAAATCCATCACCTCTGAGGTTTGCAGGTATAGATTCTCTCCAACTAAAATGTCCTTCTATCCTTACTGCTGCCTAAATTCACCCTGTTCTTTAGACTATAGCTCAGCCATCACCTCCATCGAGAAGCTTCCTTGACTTGGCTGGTATGTGTTCCCATTTGACCTGGGCTTCCACCTATCATTACACTTATCTCTCCATACTGAAATGCCATGTTAACTAATCTGACTCTCACTTTGGACTGTGAGTTTGAGGGCAGCAACTATATCTTGATTACTGGTGTACCCTCAGCACCCAGGACCAAGACTGGCACATGCAAAGTAAGCACTAGCTAAGTATCTGTTGAACAAATAAGCAAATCAATGCATGGATGATTAAATTGATGAGTAAATTTAAAAAAATCAATAGAGGAAATATGTAATGCATTTTTTAATAGACCAGATCTCTAAATGAGTGTTGAATAAATTCACTCCAAACTACTCACTTAAGTCTTTTCATTAAAATTACTCATTTAAGTCCCATCCAACAATGCTCTCTCCACCAGAGTACCATATAATGGGACTTGTGACTTGGAAAAGCTATGAGGTTAAAATTCTGTGTTAGGGGCTGGATTTGCCCCATTGATAAAGAATTCACTTAGACACAATTTATCCAATTTAGATTTTCCATGGTTCTGTGGGCTTGGTTTTGAATAAAACCATGTGTACGCACTTCATCCATTGACGGTCTTAACTTTGCCCGCGTGGTAGCACACTGGCCTGCCAACGAGAAGAGCTTGGCAGAGAAATTCCGAGGACAGGGATGCACTTTCTTATCTAGAAATGAAAGACATGAATCGAGGCCTCTCTTCTCCATCAATTCCATAAGGAGATCCCTCTAGGAAGAGAAGAAGACAACTTTATCTTTCAGAACTCTACCCCAAAAATGACCAAGAGACAGGAACAGAGATGAAGACAATTCTCACCAGCTGGATATGCTTCGGATCATCTAACACCACTTTACAACCTGTCAGAACTTCCATTATTACCTATAGGGAATATATAGAAAGTCAGCTACATATGTTAAATATATACATACGATTAGTTGCAGCGATTAACCTTGACAATAGGTAACGTTCATTCTAATTAATGACTATATTTTACTATTCGACTGATTACATAAAATTAGTGTGTAAGAAAATGAGTAACAGGAAATCAATAGGTCTCAAAGTGAAAGCCCTTAAAAAAAATTCTTAGACTTTAGAGCATTCCTGGTGGTAAGCTTTCCTCCTTTGTTGACTGGTACTTGGTACTCACAATTCCGAAGCTATAGACGTCCGTTTTGACGGAAAGTTTGCCCTGTCTGATGTACTCTTCGGGCAGATACCACACATGTTTACTGCTGCTGCTGGTCATACTTATGGTAGAGCTCTGATGTTCCAGGTGGGGCCGGAAGTGTGCCATGCCAAAATCAGTTAGTTTGGGGTGGAACTGATCATCCAAGAGTATGTTTGCACTAAAATTGTAATCAAGGACAAACAAGACAAAAACATAAAGGCATTCCGGTGAAAAACAAAATGACACACTCAATTTCATATCTGGTTAATTCCAAACGCTGACAACACAAAGCCATACATAATTTTCCATGAACTAGAGGGTATCTTCTCATTTTTCTTAAAGTAGAAATACAAGTATTATATAAAGCTCTAAAATGAAAACCTGGGGCGCCTGGGTGGCTCAATCGGTTGAGTGACCGACTCTTGAGTTCAGCTCAGATCGTGATCTCAGGGTCCTGGGATCAAGCGCCATCGGGCTCCATGTTCAGCAGGGAGTCTGCTTGGGATTCTCTCTCTCCCTCCGCCCCTCCCCCCATTCATGCACATGCTGTCTCTTGCTGTCTCGCTTTCAAATAAATAAATCTCTAAAAAAATAAAATGAAAACCTGACCTAAGAACAGTGGGCTTTTCAAATTTATAGATACATGTAGGGAGTTGGTGGATAAAGCTGATCCTTTGCCAATAGGAGAAACTAAAGGTAAGCAAAGTAGCTTTCCTTGTGCTCTTCTGATACACAATGAGAATTTGAAGTGGGTTTTAATCAGCTAATAATCAAATACCTGTTACGTGCCCAGAGCTGTGCTGTGGAATGTCCAGCCTATCAGCAGAGAGCCACTAACCTGCAATGGGGTGAGGAATCTTTGGTAGCCCTGCCTTAAGGATAAACCTAGTCCATTGTCCCCTCTCTACGGACTTTCTATGGAGTAAAGGCAAAAATGTCTTTGGGACTTATTTAAAATATAAATATCTGCAGAGGTAAAGGCTAAGTGCTTAACGTCAGTTTTAGCTACCTGTCACATAAAAACCTTAATAATCACTTAACATCTTGGCTGACCGGTAAGCATCAGCTTACTTCTACCTTCAAAGGACTGCCATAGCAGGGATGCAAAAGGCTAAGCCCATGCATTTCACATGGCCCCCACCTGGTGTGAGTCCCAGCTCCGTCTTACCCTGGCTCTGGGACTGCGGGTGGCTAACTTCACCCCATACGCCTCAGTGTCGTTGTCCTCACAAGTGAAATGAGGCAAACAACAGAACTCACAGAACTGAATACAAAGAGCCTACTTACTACCCGGCATACAATAATGCCCAATAAATGGTAGGGAAGATGAAAATCAGTAACGAATCATAAGAGAGCAGATGGATATTGACAAAAGAGGTGGGTGGGCCAAGAGAAAGTCATCTATTTCTCACTTCTGCTTGGGGGCTCTTCAGAGCTTACCTTTTGTTCCCTGAAACCAAAGCTTCTAATACTAGCCCTGCCCATCCAAAACGCAAGTGGTATATTTGTAGTGCTACACATTGTCATTAAAAGTGGTAACAGTGGCGTGCCTGGGTTGCACAGTCGGTGAAGCGTCCGACTCTTGATTTCAGCTCAAGTTGTGGTCTCAAGGTCGTGAGATCGAGCCCCGCGATGGGCTCCGTGCTCAGTGCAGAGTCTGTTTGAGATTCTCTCTCCCTCTCCCTCTGCCCCTCCCGCTCATGTCTCTGTCTCTCTAAAATAAATAAATAAATCTTTTTAAAAAAGTGGTAATAACTATGGGATAAGAACAAGAAATTCTTAATCCTGAACAAATACTGGTTCTTACAAAAGCTCCAGAAGTCCCTTGCTCGCCCTGTACAGGTAGGCTGACAGGCAGAACCTAGTTTCATAGGCCTGAATTGCAGGTGTCCTAATAATCCAGAGTACTCAGAGTCCTAGTTCTGTTTTGAGGATTCAAAGCTGAGACCTTTAAGAATTCTAGCCCGGGGTTGCCTAGGTGACTTAGTCGGTTGGGCGTCTGCCCTCGGCTCAGGTCATGGTCTCCAGGTCCTGGGATTGAGTCCCATGTCAGGCTCTCTGCTCAGTGGGGAGTCTGCCTCTCTCTCTCTCCCTCTGCCCCTCCCCACTGCTTGTTCTCTCTCTCTCTCTCTCTCAGAGAGAAATCTTTAAATCCTTAAAAAAAAGAAAAAAGAAGAAGAAGAAAAAAAAAAAAGAACTCTAACCCGGACTTTGTCTAGAACTGAGTTAACAACAGACAGCATGAAGACATTCCTCAGGACCCTTTAAGGATCCAGAAGAACACATTCTAAACTTGATGTCACTCTCTGTCCTTTAAGGGTGGCAGGAGAATTGCAAAATCCAAAGAGCCCACCTCATGTATGAGTCCCAAGGCTCTTACCTGTTGTGTGATCCTTGCATTTATGAGAACCTCAGAGAGAGCCCAGCCCTCCAGACTTGTATCAATAATCACAGTCCTCATTTTTCTCCTGGCCTTGTCTTTTCTCCGTATATTTCAGACCTGGCAGCTCCTAAGGCCAGCCTGGGTCCTGCACATCTAGGGCACTCATCATCCGTCTCATTTGGAAAACAGCATTGACTATCCTGACAAACCTCTGAAGATGTTGAGTCCACTAGAACCAGATCCTACCTTCTCTCCAGCTCCAGATAAGAACAGACATTTAGTTCAAAATTACTTCTTCCATAGGTATGTGTACACTTCAAGGGCTCCAGTCAAGGAGGAGCCTCCTGGAGATCCCTGGATCATTTCGGAGCGCCGGGGTATTTAATGCAGGAGTTTGCCACGTGTGCGGGGAGGTGAGATGGGTAGAGAGGTTCATTAACGCCCATTAGCAGGACCCCACCTTCTGCCCCTCCAGCTTCTGCTGCACTGACAGCTTAGCTCTCTTCTACACACGCCCCCTCCCCCTGCACGCACACACTGAATTTCAGCACAGAGGGACAGAAAGACTCTGAAGGCGCGTCTCAGTGTCAAACATCTCGCCCTCTTCTTCCTCAACTCCGGCTCTAAAGAAGGTATAAAATCATAACGTAAAATGCTAGACCCATGAGGATGCAAAAGCCGAATTTGTAAAACACTTAGAATTCCTGAAGAATAAGTCTTTTCTAAGCACAAAAGCAAAAACAAACAAACAAACAAACAGCCTCAAAACCAAAACCATTATCTAATCCCTGTATTTGCCCCTCAGCAAAGCTAGTAGGAAGCTTTCAGCAACTGTTGACTCATGCTCTTGACAGACTTAGGGGGAGCGGTAACCACAATGTGTGACACAGTAACACATACAGAGGGCTTCGGGCCAGTGAGGGGCTGTCTGTCAGAATGTGAAACTGCTCTAGGGTGCTGCATTTACACTTTAATGGTGATATTTGGTGAAAAGACCAGCAGACTTTTTAGTGCATAACATGAATTTTGAGTGTAGTGATTTACTCCGTTCTAAAGAAAAATCAACAGGAGCTGAGGAAGAAGAATGTTCTGTTTTAAGAAAGTAGGAACTGCAAAACCCCTTCAACAATGAGGTCTACCCTAATTCTTTCCCTTACTGCAGCCTTAAATAGAACATTCATGCTGTGCCTTCAACTATCACGCAGGTCAATGGAATATGTTTATCCTATGGGGCTAAGAACAGACTAATGAAATAAAGACAATATAAACTAACCACAATCACATAACAGTATAATTGAACAAAAGGGGTAGCTTGCTAGCTATCATGCTTACCAAAGAGATAGATAAGACACGTGTAATGGTCCATTCAATTCAATTTAGTGTCTCCACAACCTATTTCTGCTATTCTTTCCCACAATGCTCCTTACTGTAACACAGACCATCGCCTCTCTAGATGATTCTTCTAGTGCAGGATCAGTGGTGATACACTGAGAAGGGGCAAATCCTACACAAGGTGGTCAGTTTGTGTCCTGACTCTGGGGAGTAACATACTTCATCTTTCTATTGCCAGGGGTCTCCACGACAATTCTTTTTGAGGGACTTGAACCTCCCAAAGGCTACAATAATTGCTTTCTTTGCACGTCAGTTTTTCTCCTGATTTAGTTGAAGCCCTTGGGCCTAAAATATAAATACAAAGCATGATGATGCATCTAGATTATAATGCAGAATTTGAATGGAAGTACAAATACACACTTGACATGTAAGCACAGGACTGGTTTTTAAAAAGACATATTTGTAAAGGATTTGAGGGGGGAGTTATTGGTACAAAGTAGCCCAGTCCCTGAGTGCCTGGCAATTCTCCGGAAAAGTCTGGACTTCGACAAATTGGTCCCAAAGATAAAATCGACCCACCGGCCTCTTGGTGACAGCCTGAGGCAACAGGACATCTTGCTGTCACTGCTGTTACAACACCGAGACACCCCTCACCAGATGAGGCTGATCCAACTTCTCAGGGAAGCTACAGGTTACTGGAAAAGGGCATACACCCCCCCCCCACTTCAGCATGCCAAGCATCTGATACAGCTGAAGCCCTTTCTTCCCCCTTCAATTGTATGACCTTCTCTTTCTTTTCCATTGAACCCAGTTTTAAAGGTTGTTATTGCTTTACTGATGATTTATGAGTCCTAGAGTCTCTGTGTAAAGGTCCAGCCAATTAGGCATATTCATGCGTTAAATGTGAAATTTCGTCTCTAACCAAACTAGCGCAACTTCCCTAAGGCTGAGTTTCCTCATGGGTAAAAAAGATCAGGGAAGGTTTACCTCTCAGGGTTGTTACAAGGATTAAATGAGAAAATGTATTCAGAGCGCCTGCTACATAGGGAGGGCCCTGAAATATACTCCGAAGGACATAGGCTGGCCTTTGTCCATCCTACACCCACCTTAAAATCCCAAGAAACTTGGGGATTTCTAGAAGTTCAAGGCACCAGTCTGAAATAACAAAGGTACAGGGGGTTGCATGATGACCCTGGAGATCTGGGGATCCTTGGGTTAATTAGTTTCAGGGTGTCTGTTGAGTTTCAAAATAGTTCCAGAGAAGTTCTGGAAGAACCTGACTAACGTAACATTTCCAGATACTCTAAGATCATGGAAAGAAAAGAAGAATCATTTGGCATACATGTGTGCATGTATGTACACATGTGTATAAATAAATGGGTGCTGAGGTTTAGAGACAGTGATGGCAAACAAAATTAACAAGGACAATTTAAATTTATGTACTATTTAATTGTGCTGGCATC